GGGGGCAGAGGGGGGCGGGAAGAAGGAAGAGTTGATGTTGACAAAACTTATTCTCTTACAACTCCCCCACCTGGAGGATCTCTCAGAAAAAGGCAAATAACTCATCCCCCAACCGGCTCAGTCACCCTTTCCATGCAAGTCTAGAGCTAGGCAGAGAGAACCTGAAGCCACATTGAGCAATCTGAGATTAAATCACTGTTCACCGAGTTTGAACAAGGACGACAGCATGGCTATTAGCTAATCCTGCAAACTGCTGTTTCGAAAGCAATGTTCACTGGCGAATCATTGAAATAAAAACATAACCAACTCACATATCACCTAACAGGAAACAAAGAGAGAGGAACAACCCCAATAACTTGTTTAGGGCTTCTAATCCCTCAAGCCAGCCTGCAAGCCTGAGCCTGAAGCCTCAGCTCTGCCCAACTCCACCTTATTTGGCTTTGTCTCCAGAACATCTTTAGGGAGGGGCTGGTCTTATGCAAGTCTGATAACACTTTTCATTGCCTTCTGGCTTCTTGATCCTAGGAGCAAGCCACATGCAGGTGAGTGAAAAAGCAAGTTTATAAAGAGGTAGTTGAGTAATGTAGGTATAAAAGTTTTCATTTTTTTTCCCAACCAAGTAATAAAATTTGCCTTGGAACTGAGCCTGGTTCATAGAGGGGATGTTAAAACCCCACTCAATCTCACTTGTAGAGAAAAAAACTAACAAATCCTCTGGTCGTTTCTAAGGACTCAGGATTACATAGCCTGACCTGAAAAATTCCAAATAGTTTTTTTTTTCTAATTCTAGAAGAATTCTTCATTTGACCTTCAAATGAAGCTGCTAATAGTGAGGAACTTGGAAGTTAAATTGTACCTTGCAACTGTATGATCTCTACTCAGGAGTCTTTCTAAAATTCAAATAAGATTATGTAACTCTCTTGCTTAAGATACTTTAATGATTTTCCCTTTGCTTCAAGATAAAAATTTATAGTTACTAAAATTTTATAATTTGGAAATTCTTTCTGGCCCTCTACCTTCACCTTTCTAGGCTGGCTGAACTACTTTCAACTTCCCCGTTTTTGCTCTCATCCCAACCTTGATATCTCTAACTGTAAGCTCTTCTCCCTCCATAGCCCCCTCTGCCTGGCCAATGGTCCCTGGTGCTAAAAAGGTTGGAGACCACTACACTAGACAATAAGCTCCTTGAGGGTTATTTTACATTATATTCCCAGAGCCTGGAAACTAGTAGACTCTTGGTAGCTAAAAGTTTAATCAGATTGAATTTGGAAAGAAACTAACACTGATGAGCAGCTACTGTAACCCACACACAAACTTCATTTCTTTAATACAGTTTTTTTTTTCTCTGATTCAAGCTGGTTTTGTCCAGATAATGGCATTGTGACTCACTTGCTTTTTCCTGCCCTAATTCTCTGTATGCCTGCTCCTTTAATCATTAAGCCTTAGGACATAAGATTATCCGAGCCTCAAGTCTATAATCATGAGGACAATAGGTTTCTGTTGGACTTTAGACTAAGGATAACATCTCGGCTTTAGATGTGTTTCAGCCCCAGGCCCACAGAGGCAGAACTGCAATCCCACTGGCCTCGGGACCTGGCCATTGGGTTAAGAGGGGATGGCAACTTGGCTGATTCCAGAACTGGACATAATGATCAATTACCTCCTCCTCCAGCAATCATTCAATCAGTAGCACCTATGACCCCAGCTCTCATAGTTTTCCTGACTACTGATTTTTTTCCTATGTAATCTGTACTCCCAAGACATCTGGAGAGCCAGGCCTTGGAGTGATAGTGTGCCTGTGTCTCCTGGACTTGCAACTTTCTAACAAACCTTACTTTCTTTGCTGCAAAGCGTGCACATATCTCTTCTTTCGCTTAGACGCTGTTTCCCTTGCCCTGCCCTCGTGGAGGCAGCAGCTCGGCCATGGACATTCAGGAGCCACAGAGCATTCCCCAGTGGAAATATGGTGGGGAACAGGGACACATCAGGTGGTCTAAGGGGCGTGGCAAATGAGAATGTGGGAGAGATGGTCCCGAAAGGAGTCGCCTACAAATCTGAGACCCACTGTTTCCCCCCAGCCAAACACCGGCACATACACTGGCGGGTGGAAGCGAGGCCGTGGTGCTGAAAGCTCCTCAAATTCACCTCTAGCTTAAGTCTGAGGGTGGTTCTAAATCCCAACCGTCACAAGTTCGTTTTTTCCACACTATTCCAACTCCGCCAGGCTGTAAACAATGACTTTGCCTTAGAAGTTGAAGTTAAATAGGAAGAGCTTGGAAGAGCCTTTTGAATTGAATTGCCAAGTCTGAGCTTTTGAAGCTCCTCAGAAGTTTACTTGAATTGCAGCCCGAACTGCATCTTTTCCAAAGGGCTGGACTCAGTTCAGGAATCTGGTGCTTCCTTGGAGAATGTTTTCCTCTGCCTGAACTGGAAGCTGCTCTCCATGCTCTACCCGTCTTCGTTCCTTCCCATCAGTTGATGCTGACTTTGTCTGGGTCAGGCAGAGACCACCCTGTGTGGAGCAAGCCTATGCTGTCCCAGCAAGCCCACTGTGTGACAGTGGCTAGGGACACACACACACTCTGCCTTCTGATCGCAACTCGAGATCTCACCAGGGCATTCAATGGGGCACTTTGGAACCCAAGGTGTTGGCTCCATATCTGCTCTGCCTTTGCCTTCTTGGGCACCTTCTATTAGGTTTGAGGCTCTTCTCTGTGCCCCAAGACACCCTGTACATTTCTACCTGGGACAGAGAACGCACATTTTTAACTTAGGTATCTACTGATCTGTCTCTCCTGCTGCACTGTGAACTCAGAGACATCCTATTGTTCCTGTATCAGCAGTCCCTGCCACTTGGAAGCAAGGCTGTGGAGTGAATAAGCTCCTAGCAGTAAGGAAGGAAAGCTTACCAAGCAGGAGAATTGCCCCTTGGCCTATGGAGGACTGCGGAGAATAGATCAGAAAGGGAGATTCATCCAGATAAAGTATGAGGCACCGGAAACAAGCAGGTAACACTTTCTTAATTTAATTTTATTTTTTTTTACATTGAAGTTATGCAGCTAGATTTTCAGGCAAATAATTGCAAATTACTGAATTTGGCATCTACCATTCTTTCCTCTCCACCTCTAACCCACAAATATGTAGATATATATATATATTACTCTGGGAATTCTGGAACTGTTAAATTATTTATATTTACTTAAGAGATTATTATCTTTATCAACCTCCTTCTCTACATATTTCTCTGCAGAATTAATATTAGGTAGTATAGTTTGAAAGGTCATAGAGGCCTGAGTATGATTTTTCATTTTTCAAAGGAAGGAATTCCTTATCTCTGACATTCATTCAGGTACAGATGCTTTTTGAATTTTAAATTATTTGAATAAGTGTTGCCTTTATTTAACAATGTTTATTTAACAATGCTGTCTGTCATTTCTCAAAACATTTTTGACATGTTTTAGGCCATAAAAAAAGACTTAAAAAAAAAAAAAGAAAAGAAAAAGCAGACTTGTTTCTTTATAGTAACACCTCAAATACTCCAGAATTCTGAAGGCAAGATGAGCGGGCATGCCAAATGCAGCCTTTGAGTTCTCACTGCCCTCCAAATTTCTTAAATTCGTAATTAGTGGTTTTTCAACACAAACAGACTAAAATATCTCAGTTTTTTGAAACAAAAAGGAACACAATTTATTGACCTTACTTAACCAGAGGAAACACATGGTGTCATTTAACACTAACTCCAGATTTGGATCAAATTTTTAGAGTGAGCAATGTCTCTGATCGAAACAAGTACCTCTTGCCAGAAAGGCGTCATGCAAAGCTTGGTTGTTCAACTGAGAACACAGCAGGCCAAAGTTTGAAATTATATTCCTTGTGTTTCTACAGGTTATTAAAATATTTGGCTGAATGATTGAATAGACTTAACTGAAAGTCACAATATTTTCAGATACAACATTTAGAATTGAACTAATTGTGTTCATTTGTTTTTCATATGGATAGTGCAGCCCCCCTCAGAGGTTCCCATGACAGTGGGCTATGGGCTTTGCAAAATTATAGACTAAGTGGGACACAATTACTGGGAGCATCGATTTTGCTGAATGGCATTAGCCTAAAATATTTTATATTAAAAAACCACATTATGAATAGAATGCAACATTTGTATACATTTTTAAAATAAAACAGGAAATCTTAAAGAAATTTTTATTTGCAGTGCCAGCATCATCTCTCCAATTGCTTGAGGATATGTTTCTCACTTTCCTTTTCCTTGAGATCGTTTGAGAGAAGTTTGAGACACTCTAAACTAATACTGTTGATCTCAGTCAGAGCTCACTAAGTAACCTTAAGGAAAGCTAGCTAACCTTGACCTTGGCTACGTTCTTTATCATTCCAGTTCTCTCTCTCTCCCCGACTCCCTCCCTCCTTCCCTCCTTCCTTCCCTCCCTCCCTCCTTCCCTCCTTTTCTTCCTCTTTTTCTGTCTCCTACATATGCTAACAACCAAAGGAGCTTATTATACTACCTATTAAAGGATGCCTTCTTTCTTAGGCTGCACTTGAGGACTGAAAGAAGAGGCCAAACTTTTATGAACTCTTTTTCTTTTTTAAAAATTTTCTCTAAATTCCTAAGTATTATGATTGAGGCTCATGGCTTCAGACCATTCTGGTTATCTCTTGCTGGGTATCCCTTTCCTGAGAGTCCCAGTTCCCACACATTCACACCATTTTCTCTCATTCGGCATCCTTATCTCTGAATCAGATCTGTTTACATAACTACATCTTCTGTGGTACCTGTGGTTACTCCTTACAGTTTCCTTCCATGAAAGTCCAGCTTCTTCTCCACAAGAAGTGAAAGTATGAGCTACTTTCTGCTAAAATCTTATCTGTCATTGCTGCATTTCCCAAGTTGTCTAGAGGTAAACATAGTTTATGATGCCACTTATTTAATTTTTGAGCCCTGTGTCTTTTAAATTCTTTGTTATTTCAACTCATCCTCCAGTTTTTGCACAAAGCTTAATAAAATCTTTAAGAGAAACTTTCTATAACCAAAAAACAGGGTCATACTCTAAAAATACTTGGAATACGAATAAAGATGATAGACAAATGATGGATAATTTTAAAGATACTGTTAAAAACCTAACAACGTCTCCCATTTCCCAAACATGAGACAGAGTAAGGCATGAAGGAAATTACTAGCCCGCTGAGAGAGAAAAGAGAGACACGTACTTAACAGACTTCTCATTATAATCCAGGCAATCAAAAGGCAGAGTCAAAGGAGAGAACAGAATTGGATGAAGAGATGCATCTTTGGACAGATTTATGGTCTCCTCGTCCACCGAAGGCGTTATTTATGAGAAGCATGCAGTTAGGCCAGTGGAGAGTTTGAGAACGCATGAAGATGGACTTGACTCTAAACCTCATCATTAACTACAGCACAAATCATGTTCCCCATCCAAGTACACAGGAACTTAATGCTGGGTCTCAAGAGGTGTGCAATTAAGTCATAGCAGCACTGGGCAGAAGTTTTAAATTAAACAGATGTGATGTATATTAATGGCCTAATGTGACATCAAAGGAGCAGTTTGGGATTATTTTCTTTCTTTCTCCAAATGGGCTTTGATCTGGCTCTCTCTCTCACATTGCCAGGATTAGTGTGATGTCTAGAGGCGCAGTGTTAGAAGTGGACTGCCACTTAAGGACTCACTGTGTGGCTGCGGCTGCCACTCACCGAATCCAATTTCCTGAGCAGGGTTGGAGCCATCACCAGTTCTACCTAAAACAAAGCAAAAAAACCTCAAGGAGGCTTAGCATATTGTACCAACAAATATTGCGAATAAAACTTTCTTTAGAGAGTCTGCTCCTATTATTTATTTTATTTTACGACTATTATTTTTCAAATATTTTAACATAAGAAATAAGAAAGTAGAATTAATCTCTATGAAATCTAATGTCTGAAAATAAAATAGGTTCAGTATATTGGTAAAGTATAAAGACAAAACAAAATATAATAATTTGATTTTAAAAATTTGTTCTCTTATTCAGTGCAAACAAGGAAAGATGAGCAAAAATACATTCTAGGCCAGTAAATAAATGAAGACCTCGAATGCTCTTTTTTAATGCTGAGGAGTTTGAAAGAGAAATTTCTTCTTTTTGTAAATGTCGATTGATCTTACAAGTCAAACTGGACATTTGTTATTCTTTTTGGCTTCCCTGCATCCAAATATCACTTCCTATATTGGCAGAAACCCCACCTCCGCTATAGAAGCTAAAAATGCTGTTTGCTTTTCCAGTCGATGGTGCATCTAGAGTAGAGGCATGTGACCAAGGTCTTCTCCATTAGAAGCCCCTCTCCAGGACTCTGAATTGGAAGCAAATGATACAAAAAAGTACAGACCATACTGACTCTATTCTGGCACTCATGGCCACAGTGGTGGCTCCCAGAGGTAGCAGGGACAGATGTTTCATGTCTTTGTCCAAGACTGATGTTAGTGGTGCAAATGGAAGTGTGTGTGTACCCAAAATGCGTTTGGGCATGGCTTCTAGCTCATTTGCGACCTCTGAATCTGATTCTTTGGCTCCTGCAGAGTCAATGACCTCTCTCTTTCTCTCTCTCTCTTTCCCCTCCCCCGCAGTCTCTCTCTCTAATTCTCTAATGAATTTGTTTTCTGCTTCAAATAGCTTGAGTTTATTTCTGTTGCTTATAACAAGCAAGAACCTTGATTCATATAGAAACCAGTGACAGGAGCAACTGCAGGCAATAACTTCTCAGGAAATAATCTCAGGAATTCATCATTCGGACTCTTTGTAGTGACAGCAATAAAAACCCATCTAGGATTAAAGGACAGGACTCAGGGTGCCCATGCTACACAGTGGCAAAGCTGTTAACAAGAAGAGCATATGAAATGCTCATTAAAGGCAAGACTTTGAAGAAACAAGTGGCGACTGGCACAGAACAATAGGAAAGCCACGAGGAAGTGAAGAACCGTAGGTGTGGGTAGTCACTACTGGAGAGCTTAAAGAAAGAAAATTTCCAGCTCAGAGTCCTAAATTGTTGTCTAAGGACCAGCTAAAAACAAAAGACTTTCTATGATCAGTACTTAAAGGAAAACTTGCCTCTTGCAGCTACTGAACTAAGGTAGGTAAAACCAAACTCCAAGTCGAATTGTATTGATTGCCAAATAATCTTAGTTGAATTCACAGATTCCCCAATTCTAAAAAGCATAAGTTAAAACTGTCTGGGAAAGAATGTTGCCTGGAGAATTGAAACAGATCATGCCTGGAATCTCCCATAACATGAGCCTCCCTGGCTAGAGGAAGTTGCCATACTTCCTTTCTTATGAATCTATCTTTCCTTACTTGAAGCTCCTACAACAATTTAGCCTGCTTCAAAGAGTAAGCCAGTTCTTCACTTGCCCAATCCCCTTCATTGTTTGCCAAATTATAACTAGAATCAGAGCCCAGCATGCCCTGAATGGCCAATTACAAAGTCAAAGTGAAGGGAGATTATTTTGTCAATTTATATTACGGGGAAAAAAAAAACACCTAAATAATACCTAAATGGTATTCTGGTGGTGCTAGATCAAGTAGGAAAGATGAAAATTTAGTTTAGACTGAAATTATCAGCGTGGGCCACATTACCAGAGATTCTGAAATCACTGGGCTAGATCAAGCAGCTGGTAGTAATTCTAATTGTATGCTCCATTTCTGTGTTAAAAGTTAGCTGACTGAGGCCCTGTGTGGTAAACTGTTGCCTAGACCTGCTACAACAAAGCTTCAAGTAGGCCTGATGATGCAGAAAGCCATAAAAGCCGTGATAACAAGATTATGTATCTGCAGTTGGCTAATTCCTTTTATGGAAATAGGTGGACTCCTGAACAATGACCAGGACTAATCCTTCTTTCAGCCTAAAGTCAAATGAAAGACAGCCAGCCATGTTTCTAAATGCTATTGACCTGATGAATTCATTACTATGTGAGAGCATTGAGGCCACCAAACTTAGGGTGCACCTCTGTGATTAACAGTGAAGATCCTGAGTTGTTTGCCTACTCATATCATCATGTATTATCCTTAGTCAACTGTGTATATTTTGAAGCAACTATAAAACTGAGTGAAGTCTTAGCCAAATTTGAGTTGTCATTCTCACCAGTGTACAAACGTGACTCACCTTTGTGGTCTGCTCCTAGCTTACCCATGCTAATTGAAGTTGAGATGCTAGAAATTCCTTGGTATAATGTGAAGAGAACATTCAAAGACTTAGGGAGATAGGAATGTTGGAGTAAATTTGTAATGGTGAACTGTTTACTCATCTCCTAACTATGTCTCTTGAATGGCTGGCTAAAAGACACTCTGTTCAACAAGCGTCTTGAGAAACCACTAAGACCTTGAGAAATACCAGAAAGGGGAGCACCAGCATCTTTGAAAATTGCTATAGTAGCTCTCAGGAAATACTCCAATTGAAAGGAGCACCTTAATTTTTGTGGGGAGAAAAAAATGTGATCTAGGGGTGGCAGAGGCTAGGTAGAAGCCATTAATTAAAAGATGTAAAGTGGGTGTCATGACAAAAATAGGGTGACGGTCATTTTTAAAATAGTTTGGCCTATAGGACTTGGCAGCAACTGATATATGGGTTCCCTATGGTCAAATTATAGGGCAGCCCATGCAGATCCCACCTGACCTATATATAACAACAAACTAAATGAGATGAAACAAAAATCTCTACATTTGGTGAACAGAGGCCCGACCTTAAATCACTCTTTTGGAGATTTGTAGATTTACAAGTGATAGGATCTGGTGAGCTGGAAATGGCAGATGACCTAGATGCCTTAGTAAGACATTTGCATCCTAGAAGGGTAGATAAATTCCACAAAAACCCAGGGGCCTGACACTGTATGATGTTTTTAAGGTTCTAGAGGTCTGATTTTCTCCTAAGTAAAGGTGAAAATGATTGATAAATATGACTATAAAAATATTCACATGTCAACATAATAACTTAAGCAAAGTCAGAAGCCTAGAGAAACTGGGAAATTTTCTGCAATTTGTATCCCAGACAGAGGGCTAATCTCTCATAAAGAAGTCCTTTGTATTCATGAGAAAAAAAATCTAAGAACTCAACAATAAAATGGGAAAATGACCTGAATGGACAATTCAGAGTAAAAGAAATACAAATCAGCTACAAATATGTGAAAGATATTCAGCTTGACTCATAATTAGTGACACACAAATTAAAACTGGAGATACCATTTCTTGCCAAATTGGCAAAATGCCAAAAGTAAGACATTACACCCTACTGGTAAGGTTGTGGGAAAACTGACATTCTCATAAATTACTGGCAGGCACTCTCCATAAAAATTGAAACAATCTCTATGCTCTAAAAATTGTCTATATTAATCAAATTACAAATGTATGTACTCTTTAATTCAGCATTCCCACTTCTAGGAGTCTATCCTATAGATAGGCTTGCACATGTACAAAATGATGCGTGTTCCAGGTGTTTTAGTGCAGAATTATTTGAAATGGCAAAAGATTGAAAATAATACATGTTTACCAATAGAGAGCTGTTACATAAACTATGGTATATCCACACAACACAATACTGTGCAGTTGTAAAAAGAGATGTGGGCTTTATGTATTGACATAGAAAATATGTAGGATACATGAAGTGAAAAAGTAAGGTACAGAAGAGTGTGCATAATGTGCTACTGTTTGTGCAAAAAAGCGGGGGGCAGAGAATAATAGTTGTTGCTGTTGCTTTTAGGCCCTTTCAGATGACAGAGCAAGGAAATAGATGTGTGTATACTAACCCATGTGTGTATGTATATCCATAAACGTTTTAATATGTAATCAATTGTGTCTACATTAAACTAAACATGAGTTCATACTGACGTCTCCAATTTAAATTCATTACCACATGGATCATTTTAGCCTCCTCCCTTGATTATCTGTAAGCCTTCACTGCAATAGTATGAAATCCAGCTCTTATCCTCTAACATTCATTTAGTTAATTGTTTCATTCCAGTATGCATTTATAGCAGTATCAGAATTGTTATTCCATACCTTTGTGGGAAACAACTTCGTCACTTAGACTACAGCAGCGGTCCGCATCCTTTTCAGCACCAGGAACTGGTGCCCCTGTGAGAATCTAATGCCTAGTGATCTGAGGTGGAGCTGAGGCAGTGATGCTAGCGCTGGGGAGTGGCTGCAAATCCAGATGAAGCTTTGCTCACTTGCCTGCCGCTCACCTCCTGGTGTGTGGCCTTGGTTCCTAACAGGCCACAGGCTGGTACCAGTCTGCAGCCCTGGGTTTGGGGACCCCTGGACTACAGGGTTTATGTACAGTTCCTTTTTCCTTTAGTCTTACAGACTCCATTCATTTCCAAGGTTATGTAGGTTACCAATTCTTTGCCCACACCCTTCAGTAAGGTCGTTTTATATACTCGTAGTACATTTAGATTCTTTTGTCATACTCTGTATTCTATCCTGGGATTGCCTTACCTCCTGAATAATTTTTTAAAAATTTGCATATATTAAGGATAACTCTGTGTTGTAAAGTTAGTTATAATGGGTTTTGACAAATGCAGTGTCATGTATCCATCATTACACTATCACACAGAATTCATCACCTTAAAATATCCAAAGGTAACATTTTTTATTTTTTTTATTTTTTATTTTTTTAGGTGAGGCAACCCTTGGTTGAACTCACAGATTACAAGGACCTTGTCAGCTTACAATCCCTTGTTTTTTTATTTTTTATGCCGACAGCACCTGGTTTTCCTAGGTGGTCTCTCATCCAAGTACTAACAAGGCCTGAGCCTGCTTAGCTTCCGAGGTCAGACGGGATCAGGCTTGCTCAGGGTAGCA